TCAGCATGTGTCCTATCATTATCATTACATATATAATCTATGATACTATGTACTTTGATTTCATTATGTTTCCACTAACATTCTGTTTATAGTGATGGTTTCATTATTATTATTATTATTTATTATTATTATTGTATCCTTTAGTTCCTAGAGGAACATAGGGCTTCAGCTGCGCACCTCCATTGCCTTCTGTTTTCTGACAACTATTTCACCCCGCTCCAGGTCTATCCACATGCTTTCATCTCCTCTTCACATCACCTCCTCCAAGTCACCCCACCCTCCCACTGACGACCAACTCGCCGCTTCCCTTTCGGGTTCCACTCGAGCAATGGCTTGTCTAGTGATGTCACTTGATGGTTTCCTCAGAGTACGGCCAGGCAATCCATCTCCATTTCTTCCTGCCTATTTGTTTCACAATCGGTTCCTGGTTGGTTTTCCCCCAGGGGTCCCTGTTGCTGATCCTTTCTGGCCATCTGATCTTGAGTAGTGAGCGAAGACAACTGTTGGTTGATGAAGGTCTGTGTTTCTTTTGAGATGCTCTTCATGAGGCGCCTGAAGTTCTATCTTCTCAGGATGCTTCTTCTGCCAGCTTGTTACCATTCACTTGCATATCTTCCAGTTTGTGGGAAATCAGACATATATCATCGGCGAAATCCAGATCCTCCAAGTCTTTTGTGTCAGTCCATTTTATGCTTGTTCTTTCGTTGGTTGCCGTTGTCTGTCGCATTATTATTATTACTTTCATTATTTTAATTTTTATATATGTACATATTTATTTAAAAGGCAGATAATTTTTGCAATACGGATAAAAACTTCATACATTTGGTTCCCTTGGTTAAATTTCGATAAAGAAAGAAAGACGAAATTTTCAGTAAAAAATGATATCATCATTCTATTTCACAGGTTCTCATCAGCTGCAGACAACTACCTGAAATTACAATGGTTACATATATGTAGATGATAATAACATAATTTACTGTTTGAGTGGTAGTAGAGAAGAGATATTATAAAATTGATGCATCCGAAATGTAAGCGGCATTACAATTTTTAGCTTAGGTTTTCATCATCAATTTATACACTTTCAAAGTAGAAAAAAGGGGGTAAGGGTAAGACAGAAAACAGAAAAAATTAATTAACAAAACAGTGTTAGCTTGTAGCTTCACATAGCAACTCAAAAAAGAGAAACTCAGAAATACAAAAGCGGTTACCGTTTATAAGATTAAGATTTGTTCAGTGTACTGAGATCACTGAATTTGATGAGGAATTAATGCAATCAAAATCAAAATTCAGTTACCAAGGCAGTGAGAGGTTAATCACCCCCCTCTTTCTGTATGTATAAGTCACGTTTAAATCGTTTGATTGCGATCGCTTCGGAAAATCGTAGTAAATTTGCTGTTCTTTGTCTATTTCATATTTTGAATGACTTAGAAATCTCTACAAGATGACTGGTATCAACAATATGTCAATTACCAGACATCCTATTTTGTATGGTTGAGCGTAATTGCATGTAGAGCTATATAGCTACACTCTTCTACAGATTTCTCATGTTATTAGGGTCAATTAGTCTATTCAAGAGAATTCAGTGTATTTGTACAGCTGATTTCGTGGAGGATGAAAATAAAATAATGTTGTTGGATACTGTTGTTGAAATGAAATCAGTTGTTTTCTCTGAGCTGGTTGATTTAATTTGAGGAGCTTTCAATCCTCCCTTTAGACAACATCTTTATCGGATGTCCTTTAAATTTTTTAAACTGGTGTAGAAGTCAGTTAGTCTTAAAAGCTACAATCGATTCCAGCCTTAAGAAAGATGCTTTTTCATCGAATTGTAACGACAGAAAACAAGAGTCAGGCAACAGATTGTTTATTTAGGAAATCAACACATATTTGTATATTTCCATGTACATTATTATGGATTATTGTTAGTAGAAAAACACAGTCGTCTGATTGGTTGTTTTCTCGCTGAATGTTAATCTTTCATTTGTTTGTGACTGTTTCTTAAATGACAGATCGTCTGTATGCTAACTGTATCCACTTACGCAAGGTCTGCTGTGATTGGTTGTTGAATCAGTCTTTGTTCTCATTTTTCTCACGACCAATATTTGGGACGTATACATTGACGTAAATTACTGTCTATCAATTTTGGCTAGCAGCCAGCTCTCACCACGAAATTACCATACAATAGAGCAATAAACAGTAAAGATCTTGACTCACAGACAGAATAAACTTGGTCATCCGTATGCAGCTCGGCTTATAATTATTGAAAAATATCAAAAAATGCTCACCGGCAAATTTCAAAAGTGCACAAGTACCAATTTGCGTGTATTTGTGTTTGGACACACATACATAAGGAAGACAAATCGCACTTCGTTTGTGCGGGTGCGACGGCATATTCCAAAATGGTTCTAAAAACAAATCGACTTTGAAAAATCGATAGATGCAGGTGGTAGACTACCAATTTCGTCTATAGCTAAACACCTAATCGAAATGAACCACAAAACTGTGAGCTGACATCGACTACAGAAACATGAGAAAACCTGGGGGTACTGGACAGCCGTTTTGCCGTCCTAGTTTGAGACTCTCCAGCAGTAGGCACTCGCATCAGGTGTTCGAACCCAGGAACTTTTGGTTACTATTAACCACTAGGATCCAGCCCAATGGCCCATGAATCCTAACTTCTGTAACCAATCAATCATATCCCTACAAACTAATACTTGAACCACAAGACTGATATCACAACAGCTTTTAAGTTTATTCAAAAACACGATCAGGGCGCTTATTGAAATACACTTAGGCGATAGCTATTCGTAAACCTAAGCCCCATCCTCACCCGCTGTGTATACATAAACAATTTAGTAATACTCTTAATCCACCCTCAAAACCCTTATATGATTAGATAACCAGGAGTACTGTGTTTTACGACAGAATACAAGAAACTCACTAACAGAGTGTTGATTCGCAGTTTGATATCTCTATGTAGAGAAATTTATGTACACCTTATCTGAAAATTGTCATTTGCACAGACTTTCTTTGTTGTGCTACTTCAGCCCCTCTTCATACTGTGTGTCATCGTCTTCTTTGTGTATCTACCGTGTATTGCCGCAATACTGGTTGTTCATCTGCTCTCTTTGACGTCAATTTTATCGGTCCACTACTTGAGACTTTTGTGCCGATGTAGGTCTCATTACATACTACTGATAAATCTTATAAGTAGCACACGCCAAATTGTTAATTATTCTTCATATTCTCAAATACCTCTTGTCACTTTGTGTATTTTAATTGGTCTTTATTTTTTTTTATATAAGTTGACTTAACAAGTAACTTTGTGATCAGATTCTTTCAAATGCAGATTGCAAATATATTACAATTTTCAAATGATCTCCATCTTATAATTCTCTTGGGTTCCTAATGGAACACGTCTCTACTTGCCTCCGTCTTCTGCTGTACTTCCAACCTGCATCCATGTTAGTTAGTCCATACTGTTTTAAATCCTCCTCACACAATCTCCTCCATGTTATCCTTACACCGACGTCCCACTCGCCGCTTCCCTTTCTGTCGGGTTTCACTCGAGCAATGGCCTGACGCGCGATGTCAACAACCGGCCTCCTCAGCGAGTGTCCAATCCATCTTTCTTCACTTTCTCCTGCATATTTGTTGGCTGGCGACTGGTTCTTGTTTTGTTTGTTTGTTTGTTTGTTCCCATAGTTTCTTGTTGGTGATTCCTTCCGACCCGGCCATCTGATCTTCTGTCAGTATAGAGCGAAGACAGTCAGTTGTTGATAAAGGTCTGAAACAGGCTGTTGGAAATACTCTTTGTGACCCGCCAAGCGCCAAGTTTCTCATCCGTATAGAAGAGCTGACTGACTGACTTGACGCTGTTTGTATTGAAAATCCGACCGAATTTTGTTGTTCATGCTGGCTGAGTGACGAAGATTGGTTTCCAGATTGGTTTCAGGTTAATGAATGTGTTTCTTGTCTTCCCGACTCTCGCTCGATTTGGCATTTTCGTCCGTTCCGACTGCCTGCAGTTGAGACAATGCTCCCTAGATGATAAGTGGATGAAGTAACCTCTTTCAAATCCCTCCCGTTGATGGTGATTGGCGCTGGATGTTGCTGTTGTTGGCTGGTTTTCAGTTTGGTTATTTTCATAACCTCCGTCTTGTCTTTGTTCACCTGGAGTCCTGTCCTTGTTGTTTCTTCGACCAGTTTGTCGGTCGGTTTTAGCTTGTAGGTCTTCGATTTTGTGTGACATCAGACGTAAGTCATCCGCAAAATCCATGTCATCTAGGTTCTTCACGTTGGTCGGTCCAGGATATCCCCCTGTCTTCTCGTTTCCCACTCATTGTCTGACGCATAACCCAGTCCACCACAATCAGGACACTATCCAAATTTATAAAAGTTCATATAATAATTTAATCATATTTTGAACTATCGATTACTACGTTATATCACGTCTTCAAAGATATTCAGATGAATGTAATGTTAATATTTCCAACTGCTGTAGGCCTAAGATAAACAAAATAAAATTTCTCAAAGCTGCAACTAAATGAATTTCGAGTTATATTTGAGAATTTCCATCCCCAATAATGACCATTCTTACATGAACTATTTTTAAATTCACAGATTACGAATTTTGTAAATTCGATTACGAACAAATATCACATATTGCGAAAATATTCATTCAGACATCTATAAAACACAAAATAATTGAGCCAGCAAAGAATATCCTTTTCTATAATTTACTCCTCTTCTGGCTCTACAATTATAAATATGCATGTTTATATATAAAATATTCTAGAATAGCAGTCAATAACAAGATCAGTGTGTCTTCTAAATAATATCGATTTGTCGAGTAAGATCACAATGGAATTACAGTTCAGCAAAGATGCTTAAATTATAATAAGCATAAAAATATATAATAGCAAATAAATTATCAAATAAAATTAAATTAAAACAATTAGTCCCTTTGATAAATTTGAACAAGGCATTAAGAAGACAAATTTCGCGAGATGATATCATTTCGTAGTTTCTTTACAACCGCTTTACAACTAACATGGTTAACAATGATAAAATAAAGTTCATGAAATTTACTCAGTTAAATAAAAACAAAAGTACATACTAATGACCAATCATATTAAGATAGGTCATGCAGTCCAGGGTAGGCGAAGATTGAAGTCTATTGATTTTTGTACACACAGTTTAGGCTGTATGTGATTAATCCAAAGTGCTTCCATCACCTTCAATAACCTTGAATTAGAGTTATGTGAAATAATTGTGAAACAGTCATTAATATTTATTTTGTGACCAGACATTAATAAGTGTTTTGCAATGGATGATGCTGGATTTCTATTAAGATTAATCGCGTTGGGATTTTCGATATGGTTTACTAGCCATTTTGGAATATGTTCTTTTCGACGACATTGGAACATTCTGTTAGTTCTACCTATATAGGTGTCACCGCAGCTGCAGGTGAACTTGTAGATACAGTTTGAAGTAGAGTCCACAGAATTTCGTCCTTTAATCGTAGGAACAGGGATCGAAAATGTTCGGCAAGTGAGAAAAAGAGATGCGGCGTAGAATGTGCGTTTGATGGCTGATCGAAGTCTTTGAGTTGTCAACTGCATAATCTGGTCGCCCTTGAATGGTAGATTAATAAAGATGGCTTTCTTTGGTACAGAAGCTGTCTTTTCGAGATGTGGTTTTTCTTTGCTGTGACAAGTGATAAAGCTCTCCGGATAACCATTAGCTAATAAAACTGAATGTACATGTCGAAGCTCATCCATCAGTGTGTCACTCGTGCATATTTTTCGGGCCCTTGAGAACAAACATTTCACTAGGGAACGTTTATACTGGATAGGAACAAAACTGGTAAAATGAAGATATTGTCCAGTCCATGTTTGTTTACGAAAAATAGAGCGCTGAATCGTTCCATCATTTCTCCTAGTCATAGTAATATCCAGGAAACCAAGTTTGTTATTCGATTCTAGTTCGGAAGTCACTCGAATATTTGGATGAATATGATTAAATAGAGTAATGAAGTTTTCAATAGATTCACTATTATTACCAATAATAAGAGTATCATCAACATAACGTTTATACAGCATAAATCCTCCAAGCATACCTTGCATTTGTTTCTCTAATTTCGACATAAATATATCTGCTAACAGGGGCCCCAGAGGGCTCCCCATCGCAACACCATCGATTTGTTTATATGCCTTTTCTTGGAATGTGAATCTAATATTTTCTGTACACATTAAGATTATGTCTTTGATGTAAGTGACGGGAATGGGTAAGTTTATGCCATTGCTTGTGATGTAATCGCAAATAAAATCAACAGTTTCATGAAGGGGAACATTGGTGAATAAAGATTCTATGTCAATTGAACACATAACCTTTTCCTTAATGTTCAAGGTGTCCAGCATTTCTGTAAGATCAAATGAACTTTTTACAGAATGATTTGATAATGAGTCTCTTACAGGCGTAAGGACCTCTGTAATCCATTTGGCGATTTTATGATAAGGAGAATTTGACATGTCTAAGATGGGTCTCAGTGGGTTCCCAGTTTTGTGGATCTTCGGAAGACCATAAAGCTGAGGAGTATGTGACCCAATTGGTTTAAGTTGTTTATAAAGTTTTTCATTTATAAAACCATGCATCAGTAAAATCTGAAGCTGTCGATTGATCTGCTTTTCCACAAGCAGCACGTTATCAGTAGCATTGTCCAGCAGAAATTTGGACTGATCTTTGAGGATATCGTTCATTTTATTTTGATAATCCGATTTGTTCATAATGACAACGCCTTCTCCCTTATCAGGTTTAAGGATCACAAGATTATCTTTTTGGATTAATTCCTTAAGTGCGGCGTGGTGTTCTTTTGATAAACCATTTTTCTGGTGTATTCTAGCATTTAGAAATTGATGAGAAATGTCCACCAGTTTAACTTTAAACCAGTCCAGATTATCTTTATTAGAGGGAGTTAAATCAGAGATTTGGTCATACAGGTTTTCATACTGTGACTGGACTTCCATTTTGTTAATTTTCATGGGAATAGTTTTGTACTTCATTCCATAAGATAATGCTTCCAACTGTAGTTGGGATAGAGTGCATGTGGATAAATTAATTATATGTTTGTGGATATCTTGAGGAAATTCCAAAGTATGATTTGAGTCTTTCAAAGATTTTGTTAATTTTTCTTCGGTAGAACTTATCGTCTTTTTTACCATATCATTGCAAAATACTGTGAATTTAATTCGACATACTAAAGATAAATTATCCAAAACGGGATTTAGTCTTTGGTGTGTTTCAATAAATTTCGAAAGTTTGTCATTAATTTCATCGATTTCTAATTCAGCAAGATGCTGAAGGTTGGAGAGTGAAGATTTTGACTTATTCCGACGTAGGGATTTGTAAAATGATATAGGATAATGTTTATTTTCTATGCAGTTGCGATAAAACCTTAATCGTTCACGCTGAATTACAATTTTACATCTCAGATTTAGAAGACGGTTCAGAAGTCTTATAGTATCTTTAGGGAGCCTTCGTTTGAGAAAATTAAAACAATTAGTCCCTTTGATAAATTTGAACAAGGCATTAAGAAGACAAATTTCGCGAGATGATATCATTTCGTAGTTTCTTTACAACCGCTTTACAACTAACATGGTTAACAATGATAAAATAAAGTTCATGAAAATTACTCAGTTAAATAAAAACAAAAGTACATACTAATGACCAATCATATTAAGATAGGTCATGCAGTCCAGGGTAGGCGAAGATTGAAGTCTATTGATTTTTGTACACACAGTTTAGGCTGTATGTGATTAATCCAAAGTGCTTCCATCACCTTCAATAACCTTGAATTAGAGTTATGTGAAATAATTGTGAAACAGTCATTAATATTTATTTTGTGACCAGACATTAATAAGTGTTTTGCAATGGATGATGCTGGATTTCTATTAAGATTAATCGCGTTGGGATTTTCGATATGGTTTACTAGCCATTTTGGAATATGTTCTTTTCGACGACATTGGAACATTCTGTTAGTTCTACCTATATAGGTGTCACCGCAGCTGCAGGTGAACTTGTAGATACAGTTTGAAGTAGAGTCCACAGAATTTCGTCCTTTAATCGTAGGAACAGGGATCGAAAATGTTCGGCAAGTGAGAAAAAGAGATGCGGCGTAGAATGTGCGTTTGATGGCTGATCGAAGTCTTTGAGTTGTCAACTGCATAATCTGGTCGCCCTTGAATGGTAGATTAATAAAGATGGCTTTCTTTGGTACAGAAGCTGTCTTTTCGAGATGTGGTTTTTCTTTGCTGTGACAAGTGATAAAGCTCTCCGGATAACCATTAGCTAATAAAACTGAATGTACATGTCGAAGCTCATCCATCAGTGTGTCACTCGTGCATATTTTTCGGGCCCTTGAGAACAAACATTTCACTAGGGAACGTTTATACTGGATAGGAACAAAACTGGTAAAATGAAGATATTGTCCAGTCCATGTTTGTTTACGAAAAATAGAGCGCTGAATCGTTCCATCATTTCTCCTAGTCATAGTAATATCCAGGAAACCAAGTTTGTTATTCGATTCTAGTTCGGAAGTCACTCGAATATTTGGATGAATATGATTAAATAGAGTAATGAAGTTTTCAATAGATTCACTATTATTACCAATAATAAGAGTATCATCTACATAACGTTTATACAGCATAAATCCTCCAAGCATACCTTGCATTTGTTTCTCTAATTTCGACATAAATATATCTGCTAACAGGGGCCCCAGAGGGCTCCCCATCGCAACACCATCGATTTGTTTATATGCCTTTTCTTGGAATGTGAATCTAATATTTTCTGTACACATTAAGATTATGTCTTTGATGTAAGTGACGGGAATGGGTAAGTTTATGCCATTGCTTGTGATGTAATCGCAAATAAAATCAACAGTTTCATGAAGGGGAACATTGGTGAATAAAGATTCTATGTCAATTGAACACATAACCTTTTCCTTAATGTTCAAGGTGTCCAGCATTTCTGTAAGATCAAATGAACTTTTTACAGAATGATTTGATAATGAGTCTCTTACAGGCGTAAGGACCTCTGTAATCCATTTGGCGATTTTATGATAAGGAGAATTTGACATGTCTAAGATGGGTCTCAGTGGGTTCCCAGTTTTGTGGATCTTCGGAAGACCATAAAGCTGAGGAGTATGTGACCCAATTGGTTTAAGTTGTTTATAAAGTTTTTCATTTATAAAACCATGCATCAGTAAAATCTGAAGCTGTCGATTGATCTGCTTTTCCACAAGCAGCACGTTATCAGTAGCATTGTCCAGCAGAAATTTGGACTGATCTTTGAGGATATCGTTCATTTTATTTTGATAATCCGATTTGTTCATAATGACAACGCCTTCTCCCTTATCAGGTTTAAGGATCACAAGATTATCTTTTTGGATTAATTCCTTAAGTGCGGCGTGGTGTTCTTTTGATAAACCATTTTTCTGGTGTATTCTAGCATTTAGAAATTGATGAGAAATGTCCACCAGTTTAACTTTAAACCAGTCCAGATTATCTTTATTAGAGGGAGTTAAATCAGAGATTTGGTCATACAGGTTTTCATACTGTGACTGGACTTCCATTTTGTTAATTTTCATGGGAATAGTTTTGTACTTCATTCCATAAGATAATGCTTCCAACTGTAGTTGGGATAGAGTGCATGTAGATAAATTAATTATATGTTTGTGGATATCTTGAGGAAATTCCAAAGTATGATTTGAGTCTTTCAAAGATTTTGTTAATTTTTCTTCGGTAGAACTTATGGTCTTTTTTACCATATCATTGCAAAATACTGTGAATTTAATTCGACATACTAAAGATAAATTATCCAAAACGGGATTTAGTCTTTGGTGTGTTTCAATAAATTTCGAAAGTTTGTCATTAATTTCATCAATTTCTAATTCAGCAAGATGCTGAAGGTTGGAGAGTGAAGATTTTGACTTATTCCGACGTAGTGATTTGTAAAATGATATAGGATAATGTTTATTTTCTATGCAGTTGCGATAAAACCTTAATCGTTCACGCTGAATTACAATTTTACATCTCAGATTTAGAAGACGGTTCAGAAGTCTTATAGTATCTTTCGGGAGCCTTCGTTTGAGAAAATTAAAACAATTAGTCCCTTTGATAAATTTGAACAAGGCATTAAGAAGACAAATTTCGCGAGATGATATCATTTCGTAGTTTCTTTACAACCGCTTTACAACTAACATGGTTAACAATGATAAAATAAAGTTCATGAAATTTACTCAGTTAAATAAAAACAAAAGTACATACTAATGACCAATCATATTAAGATAGGTCATGCAGTCCAGGGTAGGCGAAGATTGAAGTCTATTGATTTTTGTACACACAGTTTAGGCTGTATGTGATTAATCCAAAGTGCTTCCATCACCTTCAATAACCTTGAATTAGAGTTATGTGAAATAATTGTGAAACAGTCATTAATATTTATTTTGTGACCAGACATTAATAAGTGTTTTGCAATGGATGATGCTGGATTTCTATTAAGATTAATCGCGTTGGGATTTTCGATATGGTTTACTAGCCATTTTGGAATATGTTCTTTTCGACGACATTGGAACATTCTGTTAGTTCTACCTATATAGGTGTCACCGCAGCTGCAGGTGAACTTGTAGATACAGTTTGAAGTAGAGTCCACAGAATTTCGTCCTTTAATCGTAGGAACAGGGATCGAAAATGTTCGGCAAGTGAGAAAAAGAGATGCGGCGTAGAATGTGCGTTTGATGGCTGATCGAAGTCTTTGAGTTGTCAACTGCATAATCTGGTCGCCCTTGAATGGTAGATTAATAAAGATGGCTTTCTTTGGTACAGAAGCTGTCTTTTCGAGATGTGGTTTTTCTTTGCTGTGACAAGTGATAAAGCTCTCCGGATAACCATTAGCTAATAAAACTGAATGTACATGTCGAAGCTCATCCATCAGTGTGTCACTCGTGCATATTTTTCGGGCCCTTGAGAACAAACATTTCACTAGGGAACGTTTATACTGGATAGGAACAAAACTGGTAAAATGAAGATATTGTCCAGTCCATGTTTGTTTACGAAAAATAGAGCGCTGAATCGTTCCATCATTTCTCCTAGTCATAGTAATATCCAGGAAACCAAGTTTGTTATTCGATTCTAGTTCGGAAGTCACTCGAATATTTGGATGAATATGATTAAATAGAGTAATGAAGTTTTCAATAGATTCACTATTATTACCAATAATAAGAGTATCATCAACATAACGTTTATACAGCATAAATCCTCCAAGCATACCTTGCATTTGTTTCTCTAATTTCGACATAAATATATCTGCTAACAGGGGCCCCAGAGGGCTCCCCATCGCAACACCATCGATTTGTTTATATGCCTTTTCTTGGAATGTGAATCTAATATTTTCTGTACACATTAAGATTATGTCTTTGATGTAAGTGACGGGAATGGGTAAGTTTATGCCATTGCTTGTGATGTAATCGCAAATAAAATCAACAGTTTCATGAAGGGGAACATTGGTGAATAAAGATTCTATGTCAATTGAACACATAACCTTTTCCTTAATGTTCAAGGTGTCCAGCATTTCTGTAAGATCAAATGAACTTTTTACAGAATGATTTGATAATGAGTCTCTTACAGGCGTAAGGACCTCTGTAATCCATTTGGCGATTTTATGATAAGGAGAATTTGACATGTCTAAGATGGGTCTCAGTGGGTTCCCAGTTTTGTGGATCTTCGGAAGACCATAAAGCTGAGGAGTATGTGACCCAATTGGTTTAAGTTGTTTATAAAGTTTTTCATTTATAAAACCATGCATCAGTAAAATCTGAAGCTGTCGATTGATCTGCTTTTCCACAAGCAGCACGTTATCAGTAGCATTGTCCAGCAGAAATTTGGACTGATCTTTGAGGATATCGTTCATTTTATTTTGATAATCCGATTTGTTCATAATGACAACGCCTTCTCCCTTATCAGGTTTAAGGATCACAAGATTATCTTTTTGGATTAATTCCTTAAGTGCGGCGTGGTGTTCTTTTGATAAACCATTTTTCTGGTGTATTCTAGCATTTAGAAATTGATGAGAAATGTCCACCAGTTTAACTTTAAACCAGTCCAGATTATTAACATTTTCGATCCCTGTTCCTACGATTAAAGGACGAAATTCTGTGGACTCTACTTCAAACTGTATCTACAAGTTCACCTGCAGCTGCGGTGACACCTATATAGGTAGAACTAACAGAATGTTCCAATGTCGTCGAAAAGAACATATTCCAAAATGGCTAGTAAACCATATCGAAAATCCCAACGCGATTAATCTTAATAGAAATCCAGCATCATCCATTGCAAAACACTTATTAATGTCTGGTCACAAAATAAATATTAATGACTGTTTCACAATTATTTCACATAACTCTAATTCAAGGTTATTGAAGGTGATGGAAGCACTTTGGATTAATCACATACAGCCTAAACTGTGTGTACAAAAATCAATAGACTTCAATCTTCGCCTACCCTGGACTGCATGACCTATCTTAATATGATTGGTCATTAGTATGTACTTTTGTTTTTATTTAACTGAGTAAATTTCATGAACTTTATTTTATCATTGTTAACCATGTTAGTTGTAAAGCGGTTGTAAAGAAACTACGAAATGATATCATCTCGCGAAATTTGTCTTCTTAATGCCTTGTTCAAATTTATCAAAGGGACTAATTGTTTTAATTTTCTCAAACGAAGGCTCCCGAAAGATACTATAAGACTTCTGAACCGTCTTCTAAATCTGAGATGTAAAATTGTAATTCAGCGTGAACGATTAAGGTTTTATCGCAACTGCATAGAAAATAAACATTATCCTATATCATTTTACAAATCCCTACGTCGGAATAAGTCAAAATCTTCACTCTCCAACCTTCAGCATCTTGCTGAATTAGAAATTGATGAAATTAATGACAAACTTTCGAAATTTATTGAAACACACCAAAGACTAAATCCCGTTTTGGATAATTTATCTTTAGTATGTCGAATTAAATTCACAGTATTTTGCAATGATATGGTAAAAAAGACGATAAGTTCTACCGAAGAAAAATTAACAAAATCTTTGAAAGACTCAAATCATACTTTGGAATTTCCTCAAGATATCCACAAACATATAATTAATTTATCTACATGCACTCTATCCCAACTACAGTTGGAAGCATTATCTTATGGAATGAAGTACAAAACTATTCCCATGAAAATTAACAAAATGGAAGTCCAGTCACAGTATGAAAACCTGTATGACCAAATCTCTGATTTAACTCCCTCTAATAAAGATAATCTGGACTGGTTTAAAGTTAAACTGGTGGACATTTCTCATCAATGTCTAAATGCTAGAAGTCACCAGAAAAATGGTTTATCAAAAGAACAACACGCCGCACTTAAGGAATTAATCCAAAAAGATAATCTTGTGATCCTTAAACCTGATAAGGGAGAAGGCGTTGTCATGACGAACAAATCGGATTATCAAAATAAAAAGAAAGATATCCTCAAAGATCAGTCCAAATTTCTCGTGAACAATGCTACTGATAATGAGCTGCTTGTGGAAAAGCAGATCAATGGTCAGCTTCAAATTTTACTGATGCATGGTTTTATAAATGAAAAACTTTATAAACAACTTAAAGCAATTAGGTCACATACTCCTCAGCTTTATGGTCTTCCGAAGACCCTCAAAACTGGGAACCCACTGAGACCCATCTTAGACATGTCAAATTCTCCTTACCATAATATCGTCAAATGGATTACAGAGGTCCTTACAGCTTTAAGAGACTCATTATCAAATCATTCTGTAAAAAGTTCATTTGATCTTACAGAAATGCTGGACACCTTGAACATTAAGGAAAAGGTTATGTGTTCAATTGACATAGAATCTTTATTCACCAATGTTCCCCTTCATGAAACTGTTGATTTTATTTGCGATTACATCACAAGCAATGGCATAAACTTACCCATTCCCGTCACTTACATCAAAGACATAATCTTAATGTGTACAGAAAATATTAGATTCACATTCCAAGAAAAGGCATATAAACAAATCGATGGTGTTGCAATGGGGAGCCCTCTGGGGCCCCTGTTAGCAGATATATTTATGTCGAAATTAGAGAAACAAATGCAAGGTATGCTTGGAGAATTTGTGTTGTACAAACGTTATGTAGATGATACTCTTATTATTAGTAATAATAGCAAATCTATTGAAAACTTTATCACCCTATTTAATCATATCCATCCAAATATTCGAGTGACCTCCGAACTAGAATCCAATAACAAACTCGGTTTCCTGGATATTACTATGACTAGGAGAAAGGATGGAACGATTCAGCGCTCTATTTTTTGTAAACAAACATGGACTGGACAATATCTTCATTTTACCAGTTTTGTTCCTATCCAGTATAAACGTTCCCTAGTGAAATATTTGTTCTCAAGGGCCCGGAAAATATGCACGAGTGACACAGTGATGGATGAGTTTCGACATATACATTCCGTTTTATTAGCTGATGGTTATCCGGAGAACTTTATCACTTGTCACATTAAAGAAAGCCCACATCTCGAAAAGACAGCTTCTGTACCAAAGAAAGCTATCTCCATTAACCTAACATTCAACGGTGACTAAAATATACAGTTGACAGCTCAAAGACTTCGGTCAGCCATCAAACGCACATTCTACGCCGCATCTCTTTTTCTCACATGCCGAACATTTTCGATCCCAGTACCTACGAATAAAGGACAAAATTCTGTGGACTCTACTTCAAACTGTATCTACAAGTTCACCTACAGCTGCGATGACATCTTTATAGGTAGAACCAACAGAATGTTCCAATGCCATCGAAAAGAACATGTTCCAAAATGGCTACTAAATCATATCGAAAATTCCAACGCAATTAATCTGAACAGAAATCCAGCATCATCCATTGCAAAACACTTATTAATGTCTGGTCACAAAATAAATATTAATGACTGTTTCACAATTATTTCACATAACTCTAATTCAAGGTTATTGAAGGTGATGGAAGCACTTTGGATTAATCACATACAGCCTAAACTGTGTGTACAAAAATCAATAGACTTCAATCTTCGCCTACCCTGGACTGCATGACCTATCTTAATATGATTGGTCATTAGTATGTACTTTTGTTTTTATTTAACTGAGTAATTTTCATGAACTTTATTTTATCATTGTTAACCATGTT